ACCTGATGTGGCCCCTCAGTACTGAACTGTCCCTGAACTATTTAAAATAAGCTTTCACCATAAGTTACCTAGTCCGTGATATTCTGTTATATCAGCAAAAGAAAAAAAAATGCTGAAGTGCCAGTATGTACCATTCCTGCAGTGACCTGGCAGTCCTGTACTTTCCACAGCTGCCCAGGGCAGGGTAGAGGGTGACAGAAAACCATGGCCTCCTGTCAGGCTTTGCAATGCTGCTGTTTTCATCTTTGAGAGAAATTGCAAAGGAAGAAAAGGAGCCACTTGTTTGTCACTGCATATAAAAACTCACTCCACATTTTATGAAATACAAATCAACTCCAGTAAGTAAAATAAAATACATGAATATGAAAAATAACAGGGATAAAACACTTATCTCCGTTATGGGAAGAACACAGAAAGAATGGGAGCAAAAGGCAGCATTCAGAGTTACACCTGTCCCGGTAATGATGGGAAGAGACCAGTGCAGTATTGGGTGCACCAGCCAGTCTCTTGCTCAGATCGCCATCAGATCTCGCATGATCCCACTGCTGTTAGTCCAGGGCTGCTGGCCAGGACCTTCAGGAGCAGTCCCAGAAATGTCTCCAGTAATCCAGGAAAGACAGCACTGAGCTAGTCAGACTAGCTTGCTGTGATGAAGACTTGAGAAAAGGAATGTCAAAGGGTGAACTCCTTATCTGGACTCGTAGACTTAGAGGTGTGTGATGAGGGCATTGACTGAGCAGAGCCACTGCCAGCATAGAGCCCGGGAGCAGAGGGAAGGAACATCCATTTTCTCTTTTCCTTCTGGGCCCTGGGGGATACTGCTGGCCACTTTCAGGCCAGGTCCACCCTTCTCGGTCATCTATGGGAGTACCCTCGTGGACACACCTAGAATGTATTTAACCTAGGCATTTCTCTGTCTCATCAGGATCATAGGATTCGTGAGCACAGCATGTTGTTTTAAGTCGACATAGAGAAATCTTTTTCTTATCTCAAACTTGTATGACTCATGGTCTTGACAAATTCTTACAAACTGTTTAAACAATTCACAAGCATTGCCAATGCACCATGGCCTCGTGTTGTAATACTGATTGTGGGCCCTGTTTCCAGCATTCCAGAATGGCAAGAGGGCTCATAAGGCTAACACAGCACAGGCCTCTCTCAAGTGCATGACTCCAGTTACTCATTACAGTATCTTTCCAGTTCCCTCAGTCAGTGCCGTACCCACCCGGAAATAGCACTGTCATCCCCAAATGTAGCATTATTGGGGAGTTAGGAAGACAAGCCTTCTCTGTATTTGAGCAGTATGTTTATTAGTTGTCCTTTCTCTGGTATGAATGTCAAACTCATAAAGCCAAAGGTTAAGTCAGGCAGCTTACTTGTCCTGTAGCTTGGAGGAGAATGGCCCCTCTGCTCCTCCTCTTAGTCTTGCTGTTTGTTTGCTCTGTGTCTTTGCTATCGGTTCACTTTCTGCATGATCCTGTTCGGTGCTTCTCTTCCTCCTTATTTACCCTCAGCTTATCACTCCTGGCCTGAGTTAACCTTGAGTACCCTGAGGCTGCCCAAAAATTCCACTTCACTCACTTGCCTGCTCCACAGAACTTGATTTCCCTTGGACAAACATACCTATCTCTTAGCCCAAGCTAAAATACAGGATAGGCCAAACAAAATGCAATGGCACTTCCAGAACCCTGCCATGTGCTGTGGTGTGAGGTGAGCTTACCCAGCTCTTGGCATGCACACCAGCACCAGAGAGTACTGACCTGAGCTGTGATAAACACTCAGGACCTTCATCCTCTGCATGGGCACACTGCCCACATGTCTAAACGTCCCTATACCTCCCATGTGCAGATCTATAGAGATTTTTTTGCTATAGGCCATGGCTGTACAGCCCATTCTTCCCCTATCAGAATACACTGTAAGAATTGTAGCTTAGGGTCTCAGACTAACTGACCTGCAGTGAGTCCCATTCTCCAATATTGGCTGAGTAGTCGCCTAAGGTGGGCTCGAAGCAAACACTGTTGTTGGCGCACGGTTAGCCTGGAATGGACTTTGATTTTGCTGCTTACTAAAAGCATTCTGACAGTTCTGATGACTTTATCCCCCAGCCTAATGGAGCTCTCTGAACTTCTACCACGGGTACTGCTCCGTATGTCCAGGCGTGTGGTTTCCCTGTGGGGTCTATAGTCTCTAGACCTTTCCTCCTACGCCCAGTTCCTCCAGCATTTGCCGAGGCGGCTGAAGGTCTGCCCCCGAAGAGGGAAGGGTGGACCCAACAAATGCCTACATGTGTGGTTCTCCCTGTGCCACTACTGATCTCCACACGTGACCTGACTTTTTTATATCACACTGAAAGCCACAGCCAGCATATGCAAAGCCGTTTCTTTCCTTTCAAATTCTCACCAAAATTCTGTCTCATCAGTGTAGCAACTTTCATGAGCAAATCTGAATTCCTGTTCACCTCAGGAGTCAGTAATGAGAGGGTAATGGAATGGAAAAAGGAGGCAACAGCATCCCTCAATGCCTGGGAAAGTCAGAAACACTATTAAGTGCCTTAACAACTGCTTTTGTAATCCGTATTTCTGTGTGTTAATTGTATGATTACCATCTCCTCCATTCTTAAATACCTCAAAACCTGGAACTGTGTCTAATGCTGACTAGACACTCAGGGAAATGAGCAACTGGAAAAGGCTGGAGTGGGAAAGAGGAAAAGATGTAGCCATGGCTCTGCAGCAGGATTAGTGTTTAACACGGATCCACAGGAATCAGAGCAGAACCCCCAGTCTTGTGTGGAAATCCAACTGTTGCTTTTTTATTTTTTTTCTTTACTGAAATGAAAGTTGGATCCTCTCAAGGCAATCTGAACATTTTCTATCTTCTTGTGCTCCTGTTCTGTCTCCCTTTCCAGACCACCCACGTAGCAGCAACCTGGTTGTTTCCGATCGCTTCCCTCTGCCTATTTTGCCATTCCGAGTTTCCAGCCTTACAGCAACCTAATTGTTATGTCCATCTATAATAGGAACTCTTTACAGCTTTACAACGTCAGTTAAGAGATTAGTTAAATGTGCAATAGCCCTTCTCTACTCATTTTCTTACTCCTAAGGTGTTTTTTTTTTTAAGTGCTGAGAGCTAAGTGCTCACCCACAAGGCCCTTTTGGTAATGCTGTGTTTATCTAGGATTTCCAGCCTCCGTGGTAATTGCACTGCTACGTGTGGGAATGTGCAGCTGTGTCAGTAATCATATGGTATGGGACAGTGCTGCCTGTGCAGCCGAGTGGATGGATCTGGTGCCACTGCTCTTGGGCACTAGGCTTCGAAGACAAGGGGGAGCCGGAAGGGCAGGAGAAGATGAACCCACTGTGCCTGTGTGCCGCCTTTCAACGCTCGGTAGCCCAACTTCTCCAGCATTATTTATGACTGGGGATTCCCAGCTGGTACCTTAAACGAGTGCAGGACTTGAAATGTAAATGACCACGTGAGTCTCAAGGGGGCTACAGAGAATGATGGAGAAAGAGGCGTGGTCCACAGTATTGGCATCCATTTATGTGGTCTGTGGTGAGGAACGCTGCAGTCACAGCCCAGCAATGTGTACTCTGCCTGCGCCGACTGTGTCTTTTTGTCTTAGGACAGTATCTTGTACAATTGTCCCTGAAATCATTTAAGGAGGTTTGTGGGTTTTTATGTAGCTTTTATATTCATCTGTATATTTTGTGTGTCACTGTGGGCTTATGAACCTTAGAGGAGACGTCTTTTAAAGTGTATATTCTTGAGTCCCGGGTCAATAAAACAGTCCCTGGGACTGAGGCTTTGAACATATCCTGACCAAACTATTCAGCTGGTTCTTTTGTTCCCTAAATTTAGACCATGTGCTGAAACCTAACTATTAAACCTCAAATATCGGATGGAAGTAATAGCCCTACAAGCAGACACCAGTCAGCTTTGTTGAAGTACCTGAGGTCGGGACTTTGTGGAGTCATGAGAAAGAAGTGCAGGCTGCAAGGAGAAGGAAGGGATCCTCCCAGGAGGAAGGAGCAAAGAACAGCCGAGGAGCCAAAGGAAAGCCTCCCTCCACAATTTTCCCCAGGTTTAAGAGTCATCATTAGTTCAGTTTAACAAATGTATGTTGACCTCTTGGGTAGCAGACACCAGGGGTAAAAAGAAGTAGAACTAAGCCACTTCCCTCAAGCAGGTTTTGGTTTGGTAAAGGACGCTCTTAAAAGAAGTCATTTGGATGAATTTGGTAAGATCAAAGGCTGAGGATCAAGTAAGAATCTTTGAGAGCTAAAGGAGACCCTACCAGAGAGAAGGAAATGCTCCACGGGAGGACCAGTCTAAGATGGTGACAGGAAAACGGGCCCGCACTCCCTTAGTCAGGAGTAGAGTGAATGGGAAAGGCCCCCAGGCATCCTGGAGAGGCTAAGTCTGCAGAGATCTATGTCTGTGTGACTTTTATGGAGTTCTGTGGCCAGGCATCTAGGGCTCCTGGACGAGACCTTATGAATTTTAAGTTGATAATCTCAAAACATTCATTCGGTTGCTTCAAAAACATTATACATCCAAAGTGTGGCCCTCCCTGAGACATTCCACACAGAGCTGTTCTAAGTGATAATTTTACCATGATATCACACTTGTTCAGAATAGATTTGGGGCTCTTTAGCTATTGTGGAAGGTTACAAAACAACAACAGAAAGGAGTAGCGATAAGTCCCTGGGCATAAGGCTAACAGACTAGGAGGAGCGTACTCTCTCTACGGCCTTTATGCTGCATTCAGTTAAAGTTACTTGTTAAAGCACATAAAAATAGAGACAGGTTTACCCCATAACATAAAGGGGTTTTTTTAAGCAATAAATAGATGGTTGAGTATATCCTGAAAGACAAAGGACTTGTGCAAAAGTGACAATCGCAACTATTGCTCTAAAAATGCCCTTGTCTCTCACAGTCTGATAAAAACCAGGAACTGAAGAAATCCTGGAATGATTTCTGTAACACTTCTCTTTTTTCAGTTCGCAGCTCACCTTGTGAAGATGAAGTATCCAAGAGTCTGCATTCTAGATGGTGGCATCAATAAGATTAAGCCAACAGGACTCCTCACTGTCCCTTCTCCTCAGATATGAAGGACCATGTGCATGGCTGACAAGGAGAGGGTGGCATCGCCCCTAGGCACAGCTCTTCACAGGCTGTCCCCGAGACACAAGCGGACATCCAGACCACTGCGGTGCCACGTTTTGTCATGAATCACTGTGTAAATCTTCTGAGCCCAATGTTACCTGTCTAGGCAGGAAACTTGACTGTACATGTATTACTGAAGGAATTTTCTTAATAGTGAAATCTGATCATGTATTTTTACCCAGCTGCCACATAGAGCCAGAGGAATTCAGCTGACAGGGCAAATTTAACGTTATCAAGACTCCAAGATGCGCTGAGAAAGCTGCACCCACCGCTCTGAGCAGACTGTCCTGACAACGGGGTTCCTCTTCATTACAGCAGGCATTAGAAAGCTATTCATAATAGATGTGGCATTTGGTAACTAACAAACAAGAGGTGTGTGTGTGTGTGTGTGTGTGTGTTTAGTCCACTGTGAAAAGTGGCAGCAGCACTCTCAGAGAATGGGATTTCAATACCAGCCGTATTGCTAACTTGTTTACCACTTCCTATAGCAGGAACGCAGAGTGACTCACACAGCTTCTCTGCTCTAACACATACAAGTCTGCACAGGCAGAGGCTATAATCTTGCCTTCGCGTGATGCAGAGCCGACAGCGTCTCCTACTGCTTTACCATGCAACAGTTTTCCTTCTGTGAGTAACTGAAGCTCTGCAGGCTGTGGCAGCATGCACAGGTCTAAGGTGGGTGGGTCCCAGAGCCAGGGAAATGCACACAGGCCCTGTCCCTAACCAAGAAGCCGTCCAGGTTAATAACCACTCACAAAGGAACTTTAGTTCTCCAAAGGAGTCTCACTGGGGAAGAGCAGGCCCATCAGTAGATGGCCAACACAGCATGAACTCAATTGTATTTTTGGAGTTTGTTTTGTTTTGTTTTTTTGCGGTGGGGGGGTTGTTTGGTTTGGTTTTGTCTGATGTTTGCATATTTTACCTGATTTTTTTTTTACATATCGTTTCTGATTTTGTGTTTTTAGCATTTTCATTTGTGTGTGTAATCATATATATGTGTTTTGTGCTATTTTTGTTTGTTTTGTTTTAATCTGGTTTGTTTTTATTTGCCCTTTTTTTTCTAAATAGAGAAAAAGAAGGCATGAAGTTGGAAGGGTGGGGAGGATGTGGGAGGGGATAAGGAAGGGGAAACCATGATGGGAATATAGTATATGAAGAAAAAAGAGGGCGTTTCCTTCGTCTCACAGACACAGACTGGACACTCACATCCCTTCTACTGGTACAGCAGTGGCTAGACTGCACACAGATGGCTGTGACCAGGGATTGACAAGGAAAGTTGAGATGACAGCCTCTGGCTGGGAGCCATCTCCCCAGCTCAGAGACCCCGAGTACACTGTGGGAAGACAAAATATGTACTGAGAGCCAGCCAAGAGCCTCTGCCTCGGCCACGTTATTTGAAAAAATTAAATCTTGAGCTTTACTGAATCTGAGAGACCAGAATTATATAGCCCACAAATATGTAAGCAGAAAAACTAAGACATTTCATTATTTGTAAGAGGAACATTTTTTCAGTGAGATATGTCCTTTAGTTTCAATTTTGTTTCAAAAGTATTCACTTTTCATAACTTCTCTTCCTCTTCAGTGTGAAGACTGTCTGCTCTGACCATTTGTTCAGGCACCTCAAGTTTCTGGGCCATGATGTCATTCTTACTGTCTTTATTTTATTTGCATCTAATTTGAATTCTGTGCATATGTGTGTGGGTGCTGGTACCTGCGCATATGGTGCCATCTTATTCACCCTTCTGAGTATTTTTGTTTGCTTTGTTTTGTTTTGATGATGAGGTTTGCTGGCTGAACCTAGAGCTCACTGGTTGTCTAGATTGACTGGCCAGCAAGCTCCTGGTCCTTCTTCAACCTCCAGCCTAGAATTGCAGACAAACACAGCCACCATGCTCCACTGTTTAGATGGGTGCTGGAGATCCGAACTCAGGTCTTCATACTTGAAAGACAAGCAGTCTCCCCATTGAGCTATCTCCTCAGTCTGCATCTATTTTTAAGTAAAGCATACTTTGCAAACCATCAAATTTACTCTCTTATGGTGTGGGATTCAGTGGTTTCTTCATTATATTCATGAAGTTGTGCTGTGGTTACTACTAGGGTCTAATTCAAGAACATTTACATCACCCCAAACCAAAATATTATATTTATTTGCAGCCATTTTCCCATTAACCTCTACTTGGTCTTTGATTTAATTTTTGTACATAGAGTAAGACAGGGATCTAACGTCACTTTTGCATAAGGATATCCAGGTCAATTAGATTTTACTTGGTGGGCTGCAGAGATGGCTCAGTCTCATAATGGCTAGGCGCCCAACCAAAATTATACTTGGGCTATTCACCAAATATCTTTTGAATATCTACTATGTAAGATGATAATGTGACCGATAACTATCATTTTGTAACCCTTACATATTTCCTAAAGAAAAATAAGCTTAGAAAAACTAACCAATATTGTCTAATACTGTTTTTAGGCCAACATGTACCTTGTCAATTGCCACTGGTTTTCTTCAGTCTTTGGTGGTTTAACTGTCTTCACAGTAAGAGTGCAGTACTGACAAGCAACTCAGAAGAGTTGTTCCAGGTCTGAGCTTTGTCTTATGAATAAGGCAGAGAAGTGGGGAATAGAGTGGCCTCGGGGTGAGCTGCATACAGCAGCTCAAGGAATTTGATGGAAAGATCCTGGCCTTGGTGACTAAGGAGGATCTGGAACTACAGAGGATGAAGAAGAGAATGAAGGGACCAAGTCAAAGTTTGGGAATCTCTGCAAACTTATGAAGGATATCTTGGATAGAAGGGTTGAGAAGGTGACAATCTCCAACAGGGTTGTGTCATCACCCTGCTGTATTGTGACAAGCACCTATGGCTGGACAGTCAACATGGATCACATCATGAAATCCCAGACACTGTAGACAGTTCTACAATGGGCTACATGATGTCAAAAAGCACCTAGAGATCAATTCTGACTATCCCATTGTGGAGATCCATTGGTAAAAGGTTAAGATGAACAAAAGTGGCAAATCTGGCCATGACCTGGTGGTGCTGCTGTTTGAAACTGCTCTGCTCTCCTGTGGTCTCATTGGAGGATCCCAAACCCACTCTAACTGCATCTCCTGCATGAGTAAACGAGGCATGTGCATTGATGAAGATGAGGGGACAGCAGAGGAGCCCAAAGCTGCTATTCCTCCCTGCACTTGAGAGTGATGAGGATGCCTTTGCATGGAAGATTAGAGACCCCCTGGGAAGCCCATGCCCATTGTATAGTTCCCAGTAGCTCCCCCAACAGCCTTCGCTGGCCCTGACCCACCTGGCTCTGTCACATCTAAAAGATCTCTTCTTTCCTGTCCTTGTGCCTTAAGACAGGGCAATCTGTTCCCTCAGAATAGCGGGCTTTGGTATTGTGCACTGTGGGGGTTTTGTTTGTTTTATTATGAAATTAAAAGTATGCACAATAAAGCAGATGCAGTTTCATACAGAAAAGAAAGAAATGAAATGGAAAAAAACCAGAAGAGCTAAGAGATCCCTGGCATAGCAGCCATGAGCAAAAAACACAGGAACTGAGTTATAGCACACACAGGGACACAAACATAACCTTGATCCTCTGGCAAGGGAGTCTAATGTTAAGATTTTATAAAGTGATAGTTTTACAGATTTCTGCCCCGTGCCCTGATCAGAAGAACTGTCTGCCAAAGGGAGAAGCTGCAGAAGACATTGACATTGAAATTCTCAGTGTAGGGAGATAAACCCATTGCAGACAGATGGATTTAGAACAGGCACAAGAGGGTGTGTCTATTGACTATTTAAAACTAAAAATGATAAATTATATAAAACTTATAAAATACAGTTCCAGACCTTTGTATGACCCATCTTTTCTCCTCTTCCAAATAATGATACCTCTTTAGAGATTTGTACTGAGTGTTCTCTCACATCCCAGAGGAGCTTCTACCATTGACTTCTGCACTGGAACTCTCTAAGGCAAGAAGACAAGTTCATTGCCACCACAAGGCTGGCTGTGTGCTTCAGTCTGCCAAGCAGCAATCCCACGGCTGTGTATGCTGCCTCTAAACATGCCTATCATATCACACCCTGCCATTTTTCTTAATATTTATTAGTGTAAAGGCGAGAAACAAGATGATGCTTATTATATATTTCTGTTTGGGTATTCAACCTGAAGACCAAAAACCCTTTACAGATCCTTGGATTTCGTGTGGAAGAATTGCAAGCCTTTCTGTCTCATGGTTGACATTTCACAGCACATGCAGTTGGTCACCTACCATCTCTCAATTGTCTAGAATGCAGATTTATCTTATATATTACAAATACAACACATAGAACTGGAAAAATTAGAATATTTTTGTGTTCCTGAGTATTTTCCCTGTTGAAGCCTTAAGGATAGGTATTTATCACATGAAGGATGAACTTGGACCTTGGCAAACGATGGTTTCTGTCAGTAGACCATGACTTGCATAGCTCCTTCTATAGCAGTTAGGCCTAACGTCTGTCTCCTTCTGGATCAACTGCTTAATTTCGCATCCCTTTCAGACAGTATATTTTTAGCTGGCACTGTCTACAGCACTTCAATAATCCTCTTCTGTTCTAACGCTCACTGTAGTCAACAAACAGCATGGATGGGTACCAGGCACTGTGTTGCCAACTTTCCAGGACGTACACATTAATCCTCTCAGTGGTAGAGTAAAGCACTGCCCTATCTTGGCTTAAAGCCGGTGTTGGAACTACAACAAAAGCATTGAAAGCATTACGACAGATGCTAAATATTGCTTCTGGAGTCAACCTGTGAAAATATTACTATATGATACAGCTTTCTGAGAAAGACAATGTGCGGACGACCAGCCTTTCAAAATAGCATATTAGAATGAGCACAGTATGAAATCCTCAGATAATGATGCGAAAATGACCGTTTCCTTGTTAAGTCTGAAAACTTTTGACTACTAAATTTTTCTCAACATACATCGCAGTCCTTTGGGAAAGATAACTTAGTAACTTAGGTTTCTTACTGTGCTGGAACTGGCTAACCAGCAGCTGAAGATACTGGGCCAATCTCTTCCAAACTCCCTTGCTAGTGATCCTACATTATGGTAGGCCATAATCAGCTATTTCATGAGTATTTACTTCACAGAAATGGACAGTTGTCACAATTTGGGGCTTTTTTTTTTGAGTTAGCCAGTAACATTTATCAGCACATCACTGATTTCAACCATCCTGGGGTCATATTTTCTATAAATTCTAAATTATGAGAGTAAAACTAAAAGGGAATATTAAAGATCATGTGTTCCCAAATATCATTGTTCAAAACAATGAAAGCTAAATAGTCATGAACAGAGATCATGGAGGTAATGTAATGAGAGCAGAGTCAAAGTTATTGCTCCATCTTCCTGAATCCTAGCCTAATTTGTGTTTATTACATAAAAATAGAAGAAGGAAATAACACCAGTTTCAAGTCATTATACATTTCTTTCAGGTCAACTTAGGTCTAATATCAATGTTATAAACTATGTTGGCTATAAAATTGAAGCACTGGAAATTGATCTGACTCCCCACTCTGTGATGTGGAAATGCTGTCCATTATCACCTTGGAGAGGAGTACCCATGTCTCTTCCCCTGCGTACCTGAGTGGAGACATAAAACAAAGCTTATGTGTAGAGTGGAACTGATATGCCAGCCTAAGAAGACATTCACCGTTCTTGGGGTCTCTTGCTTCAACTTGATGACAGCATTGCCCAGAAACTGAGAACAGTAAAATCCTTGATGTCCAGGACCAAAGTTGGCCCTCGGTCATCTTTTTCTGTCTTACCCATGGACCCAGCTCAAGGGATTGGAAAGTCCCCAGTAAGATATGAAAGGAAATGGGGGGTATAGGGGACTAGTTTCTACGTCTGTTAATCATAAGAGAAGAAACAGACATAGTTTAGGCCATTTGACAGTTAAAGATGTTTTTGTACTCAGAGATGAACTATCTTGATAATTACTTATCAGATTTCTTCTGAAGTTAATTTAAGATCATTAATAAACCATATGTTCATGCCATGCTATCGATTTAGAGTCATTGATTATTGGAAAGAAATATATATGGGCCTGTCTTGAGGCCAATGGCCAAAAGGATGGTTTGTAGGGTGATGCACAAGAAAAAGAAAATCTCCTTCCCGTGTGTGCTGGTTCCTGTTCCTTCGTGATAGAACACCATGACCGACAGCAACTTAAGAAGAAAGAGTTCCTTTAGGCTTATGGTTCCAGAGTGAGAGTCAGCAATGGTGAGGAAGGCATGGGAGCAGTTGGCCAAATCAAGAAGTGGAGAGACTATCGCTGTAACCACAAACAGGGAGAGAAAGTGAACGCAATGGGGGCAAGGATGTAAACTCTCAGAGACCTCCTGCAGTGACATTCTTCCTCCAGCAATGTTCTTCCACCCAA